AGAAAAGGAAGGAAAAAGAAGAAAAGGAAGGAAGGAAAGAAGGAAAGTCCTGCCTTAGCACTTGACCACCAGCAGACAGCAAGGCTCCTCTGCAGCAGGAGACTCCAACCTTGGCCACTTTAAGACTGGTGGACCTCAACTCCCAGCAAAGCAAAGCTGGCTGAGGAATTCTGGGAGTTGAAGTCCACCAGTGGTAAAGTAGCCAAGGTTGGAGACCCCTGCTTAGGGTGGAGGACAATGGGTTTGGCACTCTCCCTGGTCTCACCTTCCTCTGCTGGAGACAATGGATCCCCCAGCGCCACCCAGGCCACCACAGGTGCCCCCCACACACACACATGTGATGTCATGCTGGCCACACCCCCACCCCTCTCCAGCACAACCCTGATGCGGCCCTCAATGAAGTCGCGTTTGACAGCCCTGCAGTAGGACAAAATGTGAAACTTGCTTGATTATACAAACCATAGTTAAGTCTGGCAGAATTCTCTGTGTTGTCAAAATGCAACCTAAATCTTAACAGTGGATTTTTGGAAGGGTAACAGATTGATTTGCCTTAAATGCCCTCTGCCAAGCTGTGAGTAACGAAAGAAAGCTGAAAGCCTTTTAGTGTCAGAAGCCAAAAAGTTGATTTGTGCTTCTTTTCTAAAACAGCCACCACAATACATCACATCCTTGCTTGCATGCTGCTTTTTTAAAGGAGATTCTACCTGAGGGGCCCATTGCAGAAAGCCCAGGTGACTCCAACACCTGCCTGGCAGAGGGAGATGGAGGTGATTCTTTTTTTTTGTTGAAAATTTTATTTGCGTTTTCACAAAAACAAAATACAAATAAAACGTCTTTTTTTGAAAATAGCATGGTCCCAGGTTATCACTTTTTCATGCAGACAGAAACTCAATTTCATGCTCATTTTTATGTTCTATTCCATATCTTATTACTGTTTTATATTTTCTACATAGCTTTTCCCCTCTTTTAATTTTCTCAACTTTATTTTAATTATCTCTTCTCAATTCAAATCATTATATTTATACTTTTGCCTGTCCTGTTGCAATTTCATATTATCTTTTCTCATTAAACAAATTTTCCCCTGTAGTTACTAATTGGAGTATGACACCTTTATATCTTTTAATTTTATCCATTCAAACTCTTATTTAAGCTTCAATGTATACCTTTAAAATTATAGCATTCAATATAATACATAACTTCCAATCGAATTCTACTTGGTACATTCTTAAAATACACACTATATTCTTAAAAAGAAAAGATTATATATATATATATATATGTGTGTGTGTGTGTAAATAAAACACACATTCCATTCCAATTCAATTCTATCATTAATATTCATTAAAATCTTAACATCTTTAACATTTCTTTTCAATTAAATATCATACTTCCTTGGGAAGTATACTTCCTTGGGAACACTTATAAACTTTACATAATTAATTCTTTTTTCCCTATATTTCTCACTTATATTTTTATAAATCATTAATAATAATTAAAATGTTCCCATCCTTTCCTAATTTAATTATCTCATTCACTTTAATTCATTTACTTCCTAACAAACATTCCACTACATTACAGTGAATATTGTATCCATTTTAGTCATATTTTCTAAAATTATTTCTATTTGTAATATAACAATGCTATCTTATGTACCTTTGCAGAATCCCTTTTACAATTAAATTTTCACCCATTATCTCTAAACAGGCTTATGGTTTCAATCCTTATATCTTTTCCCTGTTTCTCTATATCTTGCTTCTGTCTTGTTTCTGTCTTACAACTTCTTTTCCTTACCTTCTTCCCCCTCTTCTTCTCCCTCTCCTCTTTACCCCCTCGTCTCTCTACTTCTAATTCTCTCATCTATAATTCCCTCTTCTGTTGCTTTCTAATATTATGCTTATCTTTCAAACTCTTCTTTTTGGTTGTTTTTTCTAGTCTTAAACCTTCCACTCTCTTTCCTCCCTTTCCTTCCCCCCCCCACTTAAAATTATTTGGTCATTAAAGATGGCTTCTTCTTTGTCCCGATCTTCTTGTTCTGCAAGTGTTAGTTCCAGATCTCCATTTCTAAGAATTGAAATATGAAGCCAAAAGAACCTCTCCCTTGTGCATCTTCTTTCCATTTTTTAAGTTCCATTTTCAGTTCTTCTAAGAGCGATGCCATTTTAAACACTTTTAAACAACCACCTGATTAGTTTTAGTCATTTAGATGCAAAAACCAAAAATCACCAAGTAATCCAAATAATCCAAGGCTGTTTCTACTTGCTTCTTTTTTCCACTTTCTCTTCCTGGGGTTCTGTTATTTTTTTGCCAAGTTTCAGTTAGGATGTATCTTTGGGGAATCTTGTTAAAGTTTCACTGTAACTTCCTTTTAGTTACAGTTCCATTTCTTAGTTCCAGGCAGTCTCCTCCATTTTTCCAGATCCTGTCCTTTTATTCTTTTTTTTCCTCCTTTCCTGCTTTTAAAAACTTTTAAATATCCAGAAATCTTTATTATCCCTTTGACTTTTATTTTCAGCTTAAATGCCTATTAATGTCAAAGTGGATTTTTTTTTTCAATTTCTTGCTTAAGTCTCTTATCTGTCAGTATATGAAAGGAAAGAAGAAGAAAAACCTAATCCTTTCCCTTTTTTCTCTCCTTCGCTGCTTCAAAATCTTTGGGAACAATGGTATTTAGTTTAAATTCCAGGGTACCTTACATTGTTGCTTTTTCAGTTTAACCCGGTCGACCAAAACTTTCTCTTATCTTCCTCCTGCACATTCTTTTCCGGTTCAGTTCTTCTTTGAGGTGGCCATTTCTGACCACCGCTGCAACCGCCTTCAGAAAAGGGAGAAATGGCCAGCTGGGGAAGAGAGATGCGGCTCTCCTCGCCCCTGCTGGTGGTCTCCCCCATCTTCACCACCTCTACGGGGTGGCTTATCCCGAAACCAGCCAGCTCGGGGCGCTCCGGTGGCGAGCACAGATTGAAACCGCACACGATCGCAGATTTCAGTCTGTCACCGAAGAGACTCAAACCGGAAGCCCGAGACAGAGGTGATTCTTGTAACGCAAGGTGGGAGGGAGAGAAGTAAGGACTGTAAAGGCTTTGGTGTGAAAATGTCCCTGTGCTTGTCCACTCAGCTGCAAGTCCCACATGGGACACAGTGCCCTTTCTACTAGGGAAATTCAGGTATGAAGGACTGTAGTGTAAGGTTTCAAATCCTGGGATAATGACAGCACTGGATGGAGCAGAATTGAATAGAAAGGATGGGATGGGATCATTATTGATATACTGTAGTCATTTGACCAAACTAAAAATATAAAATGAATACAAAGAAAGAAAGAAGTACAAAGAAAACAATAAGACATGTTCATAATAAGTTATCACACCTACAATTAAACTCTTTGAAAAAAAAAAGAGTTCAGTCTTACTAATGACATGCAGGTTTGTTCCTGTAAGACAGTTTCTCCTGGCTGTCCCAATATCTTTTACTTTTTAAATAAGATTGTAAGCAAGCCACCCAGGGGTGGGATTCTACAGGTTCGCACCTATTCGCTAGAACCAGTTTTTAACATTCTAAGCAGTTGGAAGAACTGATTGTTAGAAGAAATTACTGGCCTAATCCTGTAAGGAAGGCAGGAGGGAAACATTCTGGTGTTGCTTACGGAAACTGCCTCTCCGTTAACCCTTATTACATTCTTGGCAGGACTAGACTTCCTGTCTCAGGAACCTCTCTGGAGTTTTTTCCCGCTCCTTTGCTGGTACTTTGCTTGTGTGGAGTGACCATTCAAAGTTACAATGGCACTGAAAAAAATGACTTATGACCATTTTTCACACTTACGACTGTTGCAGCATCCCCACAGTCATGAGAGGCCAGGCAAGGAGATGCGTGCCTCGATGTGAGCGGATGTTGAGTTGGCCATGCCCAGCCAGTCACATGACCACCAAGCCACGCCCACAGGACCGGTTGTTCAAAAATTTGAACCCCACCCCTGAAGCCCCCCTTCCTGCAGAGTCCAGCTTACAGACCATGCAGGAGGTTGTCTTCCATGGCTGGGATTCCACACATGGAATGGGCTGTTTCTTCCAGGGAAACTCCATGAAAACTCCCAGGGAGCCCAAATGTTCGAAACAAGCCCT